ACTTGCATTAAACTGTGCTCATTTTAGCAGGTGAGTGTGATTTTCCTGGGATATAAAATGTCCTCACACAGCAGCAGCCCCTGCCCTGCAGAGCAACCCCTTTGCCCTGATGAGGAAAAGTGCCTCAAGAATCCCAGCCAGACACATCCATCCAGTTTCTTTATAGGGTCTCKGTGAATTATTAAAAGTCTTCTCTGACACCTGGACAGAAAATAATTCAATTTCAGGCTAACACCCTCTCTGTTATAATGTTAAATAACCATCTTCCTGTCCTGGAAAAAGCAGGGCTGGGAAAAGGGGCCATATGTTGCGATACAATAGGAGTGAGGAGAGAAATYTCCTATACTTACTATATAACTTACTTACTCCTGTAAGTAAGTATATAACTTACTCTCCTATAAGTAAGTTATACACATTATTTGGGAGAGAAGGATTTGCCTGTTCTGGCTGCACACCCTGGCCTGGGAGACTGAAAGGCAAAGCAGAGCCCATCTCCCCTCCACTGCASGGCTTCCCTTCCAGTGTAGTGGAATTCATTCGGGAATTGTGCTGAAAGGACTGAACCTGTCCAGGGGACTGGACGTGTCCTTGATTATGGGAGGTCCCAGTGGGTTTGGGGCAGATGTTTACTCGCTTCCCAWTTCCTCCTGCCCCCGAGTCCTCCCTGGGCATCCACGGGAGATGAAGAACAGGAGTTTGAGCCGCGTTTTTCTCCCCTGCGCTGCTGCCCCTGTGACAGCGCTAAGCTGTGCCCTSATCCGCGGAGAGGAGCAGGGATGAGCACACAACCTGGGGCACGGAACGAGAGTTCTGCATGAACCGACAATGGGCTCTGCACCCCATTGCTGTTCCGCACTCTGCTCAATAGGTGTCTTCAGATAATTGCCGAGAGAGGATTTACTCCGCCTAATGCGCAACGACTGTCAGGAGGGCTGCATTCATTTCGCTGCCTAAGACAGACGCGAAGAGCAGAAAATCCCGAGTCTGGATTTGTCACAGAACAAAATTCTGAAATCGATGTCACTTTAATGCAACAGGGTTTAATTCACAGGATTTTATTGGCGTTCAGCCCACGCTACACGAAAGCTCCTGTTGGGGGAGCAGGGAGTGCTTCTGGCTGCGGTTTTGGTGAGCGCTGACCAGTGTATACCCAGTACCATCAGKGTGGAATTAATCTGTGGGCAAAACTGGGCATCAGCCAAGTTCAGYTCTCACAAGCTGGGAATCACGCAGAAACAGAATGAGAAGGGGTCCCAAAGTTCACGTTGTGCATCTCTCCCCAGTGTTGTCCTGGCCTTCATTTATTTAAAACAGTCTTTAAAAATTCTCTCAGAGGTTTTTACAGCTTCCWCAGACCATCTCTCTCTCTTTGTAACCATTCCTGTGACTAGAATGTTTTTCCTAATATCTAACCTAATTTCTCTCAAGCTTCAATTAAGCCTATTATTCTTGTCCTACTTATATATATAAATTCCTGCTTCTTACAGAAAACTGAATTTCTGTGTTCCATTTGGTCATCTGTTGTTCACACTGAGCACTGTCTGTGACCTGTGAGGACAGGACAGATTCCTCCAGTCCTCTCTGCTGGATTCTCTCTGCTTGGCTGCTCTCCAACGACACCACGTTTCCCTTGAAGAGGAAAAAAAGTTGTTCAACATTTGACACACTGTTCTAGCTGAGTCCTTACCAGTGCTGAGTGCAGCTGAAGGATTGCTTCATGCATTTTGTAAGTTACAGCTCTGTGTAAAYACCCCTGTGTTGACATTTAACATTTTCTCAGCAGCCAGGTTCTGGTGACTCATGCTCAGGTTGTGAWTCACTCCCTGCAGAGCTCCTGTGAGACCTTAAATCCCCACCCTTCACCCAGCACTCCACAGGTCAAGCCCCTGTTCGTAAGACAGTGTTGAAAGCTGACACATTGCTCACTTCTGCTCCTCTTTTCTCATTTTTACAAATAYTGGCAGGGTGAGGCCAGTCCTTGTTTTTCTTTCCTGGAGTTCTCAGTACACAMCCTTTTTCTCTCTGCTGAAGGCACATGGGTTGTCCATCTTCACTAAAATGCTGCTTCTCCCCTCACCAACAAGGGTTTTCCTGGAYCTGTTTTAATTCACATCCAGTTAGCTCAAGGAAAAACAGCTYATGATCTGCACAAGATGTGCTCATCCTCCCATCTGGTCTCATTTACACTGTGCACATCCTGCCATGATCACAGCAGCCCTCTTTGTCTCTTGAGATGCTAAAAACACCCCAAGGTCTTGGGCCAGGGAGCGATGGAGTTCTCCAGGCTGGCAGGGTGTCCAGGTTGCTGGGTGTCAGGGTGTGGATCCAGAGATAGGCTGCCCTCTCATGAGAATTCAAGCCCTATGTGGAAAAAAAAATGCATGAGAAAAACCCTTTCCCCTGAATATACAAGCATGCAAAACCCCCCAAATCAATCACACAAATAATTCCCCCAAAACAGCCATTCAAGAAGTCTTACCCATCAGAAGCAAAAAGTGGTAAAACTCTCTCCAGCCAAAACTTTTACAAGCTGTATTTAGAACAGTGCTATCAAAATGCTATAATGCAAAACTAAAAAACTACATTTTCTTGTGCATTTTCATTTCTGCACTTCTTAAAATAAAAATGGTCTCAGAAGTCATAAATTTACTTTTCTTAAGTTACCCCGTGTGGCTCCCTTAATGAAATGACCGCAAATACCATACACACGGCAGTGTAAATCCGTAAAACCTCAGAGCTCCAAATATTAATCAAGGAGCTTTCATAACAGAAATTAATAAATGGAAGCAAAAAAATTTRATAAAGAATGAAATTTCACAAGCTACTAAAAAGCAAAGACGGATTCCATAATATTTTACAAGGCATTTAAAGTAAATTCAATACTTTTCAAAGGCATTATGAAACAGAAATCACGTAACTGACTGGAAGCTTAGGATGTGCTTCAGGTCCAGGTTGGTTTTACAGCACTCCTGTCTTGTTTGCTGGAGCGACAATTCTGAACATCAGCTGGTTGTGCAAACACTTCTGGAAAGCTTGGGATGTAAAAAGGAAGGGGGAGCCAAGAAAATACCAACACCTGGTAGATACATCTCTGGGATAAACCTGAAAATGCAACTGAGACAATTCAGCAGAAAAAAAAAGGCAAATTCTGTGTAAGCAAGGATGCAGGATGTAATATGGAATATGACTTATCTTTCAGTACCAATCACTGTGTTCTCATCAGTCTTACCGTGGGATAATTGACATAATTGCTTGTGCTCTGCACAGTTTTTTGACTGTGTCTGCTTCTTGCTGTCATGCACAGTTGTTGACAGGATGCTAATAAACWCTTTCCTTGAATGATTGCAGCACATATATTATTCCACAAGTCTGACTCATGAGTGGGGCCACTAAATGCCACCACAATACAAATAAATCATTAAACAATTATGAAAAAATAACAGAGCAGCTTGTAGTGATCCTCTATTTAGGGCAATAGAGATATTATTAATTTACTTTGTACATACAATCAGAACTCAGTCATATTTTTCCCTTTGATTTGGAWTAGCCCACATGAAGGCAATCTCTGTCATTAACACACAGGGAGTTATTCCTTCAAACACTGCCAGTTTAACATGTTTCATCTGCACAATACCAAAAATAAGACGAGAAAATCTGCTTGGATTTCAGCAAGTACATGCAACCAGGAATTTGCCAGGAATTCTCCTGACAAAGAACAAATAGACTATAACACCACAGAGGTGAACCCTTCACAGAGGCTTTAGCACAATGCTCTGGCACAGCCTGCAGAGCAGAGAAAACCCTCAACAAAACCCATTTAGCATTGGCAGAATCTGTGCCCCTGCTGCACCCATTCCATGTTCCCTGCTTAACCAAAACCAYWCTCTCMATTTCCARCTGGATGATGRATGTAAAGCTGAAAATGCCACAGGRGCAGGTGTTCTGCTGCCTTCTCTGCCTTCAGGTAGGAGCTGGTGAAAGAACTGAGGAAGGGAAAAAAAAAAACCAACTACCAACAGTCAGATAAGTCAAAAGAACTGAAACTCAGCTTTATTGGTTTTTTTAAAAAAAGTATTCTACAATAATGGCTCAGAATACTACCACGATGTACAGAGACAAGGCAGTGCTCTGGGCTATGACTGTAGATTACTCTCATATATATATATATATATTTAAGAGCTTAAGAAAGGTTGAAGCACAGTAGTTCAACATTTCTTAAGCATGTATTTCATAATTTTAACATCTTCTAGATCTCTCATATTACAGCAGGATTTATCAAATGCAATGTAGTCACAGAAGTCTTGCATAAATACAAATATTGATACTTTACTTCGAATATTGTCTATGATATAAATTCTGCCTTACCTTTAAAAAAAGTCTCCAGATCATTATGTGACCTGGGAGTCTTTCCTTTTCTTTCTCTTTAAGAGTTTTTAAATATATATATATATTTATATATATTTGCTATTGTACATCAAAGTATATATGAATCCCATCATTTCTGTTATATTTTCTGCAGACATGGTCTGAARCAAAATCACCAACAACTCAACCAAAAACTTCCTGGTTACCATAGGAAAGCCAAAGAGGATCTTTCCTCTTTTTGTGTGTGTGTGTTTCAGTACTGGTATTTTTTTAAACTTGAAAGGATTCTTCATAAACTAGAGGTCCATAGATCATTTAAAGCAGTCTTTATAAGCAAATTTACATATTTTGACATGCTTTTGTGAGGCAGTTWGTATCAAAACCCAATAGCATTTCTTACAGAGCCATATGACTTTCTGCGATGCAGATATACATTTCATTTCTAAAAAGCCACAGTTCTTGTTCTACATCTGCTCTCATCAAATCCCCAGGATTCATTCATAAAACTGCTGCCATTCCAAATGCTGAYGCTGTTATCCCTGCTGTGGATTAAGACATACACCCAACCTGGTGACATCATCGCATGGAAGATTGGTAAGTAGGAAAACACCCTCCCCAGATCCACAGAGAGTCTYTTCTGTCTCTGAATCCTCATGATTCATGTCACCCAACAGTGCAATGTGACGAAGACACAACTTTAGTGCAGGCTAAGGGTCTTCTTCCATCAAAGGAATCTCTAGGAGAAAAAAAGAAATAGCATTCACTGCTGATTGCAATTTTCYTTTACACTCTTACAGAGTGTTATTGTTAGCAATTACGCAAAAGCAGAAATGGACATTACAAATACCTGAACGGGCCATTGCCAATTCTAGACCCACTGAGGCTCAAACACCTTTATGAAAATTATCTTAGTAAAACTACAAAGATTGTCTCTAACATGTTAGGACCACAAAAACCTAAATGCAAATATCCTTGCTACTACATTAATCACTGAAAGAGCATTCAGAGGTGGCAGGGACTTTCACTGGCAGTACCATTAATTTCTTCCTCTCCTCCTGGGTGTCCTGTTCCCCTTGTGACACCAGTAAAATTATCCAAACACCCCTGAAGCAGGAAGACTTCTTCCACCCAGACCTTCCCCCACACTGAATTTAGGACACTGGGCTTCAGCTCAGTGACTGTGGGGAGTGGGATATGAGCCTCTCCCTCTAAATGTCTCCAAGGAAAGCCACCTCATTTCTCTAACACGCTGAGCAGCACCAAGAACTCCAAGAAATCGTGTCAGGGCACGCTCATGTTAGATTTAAAAGCAGGCAGGAATGAATGTATGGCAAGTTCCCTCCTGGCACGTGGACCTGTGGCCACATTCCCCTTATACTGTGACCTCCATATCCATGGCTGAAGGCTCAGATGGAAGGAGCATTTTACTGGATGCGCAGACATGACGAATTTGTTAATAAAGGCTGCTAATTTAGGCCCAGTATGAAAACATGATTTATTTTCTCTTTCAAGGAGAAAATCCTCCTCTTTGCTGTGAAAGCCTGAGTATGGGTGGGAGTTGTGAGTGTAGGAGCTGAAGAGCAGACGAACAGACCAGCACAGGCAAGATGAGCACTGGCTTTGCTGCTGCACAAAGGTGCTTGCTGACATCCCACTGGTGATGGGATGTGGTCTGCACAGGAGCCTTCTGGCCTGGCATTCCAACCACATGCACCACATATGGCAGATGTGAAACTCTGTAAACATGGAGTTGTGCGATTTTAAAAAATACCCAAATTAAGGCGTGGACAAAACCACGGAGAAAGTACGAGCGAGTCAGCTCAGTGAATCCCTGCTCTGCCAGCACAATGTTCCCTGTTCATGGACTCAGATTTCACAGCCATTTAAGACTCACCATCTGTGATATCGATCCGGGGACTCGTGGATGCAGCGTCCCCGTCAGCGCTCTGGGACACGTCAGTTCGATCGGAGCCGGGAAGCGCTGCCCCTTGGCCCGGCAGAGATGGGTACAAACTCTGGAGCAGTTCAGAGGAACCCGACCCACTGTCACAGGCCTCAAACTCGCCAGGCAGCGTGTCTGGGATCCTGGGACCGGGGTAAGCCGGAGGATTCTGATCTTCTGCCTGCAAAATATGGTCTGTGGCAGCTGAGTATCCGGGCGCCAGAGCACTCAAACCGCTGCTGACAGCTTCATCGTAGGAAGGCAGCATGACAGGAACACCATCCACCACCACGAAGTCGGGGTCGCCCATGGAGCCCTCCTGGTTGCCTCTACGTCAAACACAGATGGGTTATCAGAGAGAGCAGGAGAATGTCAGCAGCACCTCGGAGCGGCTGCTGAACTGCAGTAAACACAGCACTTTCTACTCATGCCAAATGAAGCTACGGGCTCATTAACGTTCACAGAAATGTTTGCCAAACTCTCTTTGGGTTGACAGGTGGAATCTGCTACGATTGGGAAAAAATGGAACTAGTAATGAGAAGAACAATTCCGTCAAGGGAAGGCAAACAGGGATGTGGAAGAGATGAGGAGCACCATTTGCTGTGCTGGGCACAGWAAGTACAGTGGATAAAAGATCACAGATGTCACTCACCAGCCAAAAGTGAACCCTTAGGAAAACGTGTGCTGAAGCACAAAAGTGTTTACAGCCCAAGTRAACAGGCTGAGATCTCAACTGCTGSKTGACAAGGCTTTGGTGGCAAGATCYGTGGCCTCCTTCARGCCTTGCTTTCAAAKGCCTGRTATTTAGCCKGTTTCCTTTTTAAGCAAAACATTTCTATTAATTGGGAAGGCCCGTTAAACCCTSAAGTGTCTGTTTAGGAGCCTATTAAACACAGAGTAGTCTGGGAATTGGTTCCAGGTACTTTTAAGAAATGAAAACATCTGAAAAGGAGAGGACTGAAAGCCATTTCAGTAAGCTGGACAAGTCCAGGCTACAGGTCTATCTTGTGAAGAGCACCATGTGAATTAATGCCCATAGCTGCACGATGTATTATGGAAATAAAGGTAGATGCAGGAAATATTTATGAATGGTGATGAAAATAACACTAATGAAGGTAAAGCAAACCTTTAATATAAATTTGTCCATAGAGAAAAAAGAAATTMTTTCTTAAAACTTACATTACTAAGTCTACAGTAGTTAAAAAAATTAATTCCCCCAGCACCTGAAAGGGAGTATTTAAAAATATTGTCAGCTATTTTTACAGGCAGAAGCAGCAATTTTCAGTAGAAGAGCTGTAATTACTCCCAGAGTGAATCTGGCAAACTTTGCCTTTTATCTTAGCTGCATKAAGGACTACTGCGGGTTTTTGGGGGTGCCCTTTCACACCAGTGGTTCAGGGACTTCTGCTCAGAGCAGAACAATGTTTCTGCAAGAGCTGGTGAGCTGCTCCATCTCTCCAGCAAGGATGCTGGATGTGAAAACTGAGTCAGGGCCCTCAACCTTCAAAATAAAAAAGAAAACAGTACAAACCGTGGAAGGAAATGTGTCTTAAATTTGGTCTGGAACATCCTGGCTAAAATAACCAGCAGCAGTACCAATAAAACACTGGTAGCAGTAAATGCCACTATTTTCCATGTAGTCAGGAGGGTCTCCTGTGTATTTGGCCAKGTTTGTTCTGTAACAGAGAGACAATACAGGAGTTGTATATTCACATTGYTATTTTATATGAAYACTTCAACTCTCCTCAGGAGTKCYAGTYAGGACCAGACATTTTTTATATACARCTTGTAAAAACACACATAAACYCAAYGCCCTGTACCAAAAGCAGCCTTAACACTGAGCTGTCACAGAGGCTGGATCTTGCTTTTTCCCCTTGGTTTTTTACACATGCAATCATGACCTTAGCTTGCATACAYATAAAAACATCCCGATGTTAAAACTTACATTTCAAGAGGTAATGATCAAAATGGTTTAGGATCACTCAGGACCCTGGAAATATTATGTTTAACATCCTCTTAAAATCAATGCTCATCACTTAACCATGAAATCGATGAAGGTCACCCGGCATCACCGACCTACAACTTTGCTCCGAAAGGAGSGCACAAGAAGAAGGGCTGTGAGCACAGGGCCATCCCTTACCTGTTTTGACACAGTACACTTGGTAGGAGGGGAACCACTCTCCGTACTGGCAGGTGATGTACTTGTAGTCGTTGGTGAGGGTGTAGCCAGGGTCGCAGTAGAACTCCACCACGGTGCCGTGGTTGTAGCGCTCGCACGGCCGCGGGTGGCAGATGTAATCTCCGTGACTCACCATGGGAGGTAGCGGACAAACTTGGCCATGAAGGGAAAGGGAAAGGGAGAAGGACATTAATGCCACAAACCCACCACAGGGCAGCTTCAGAGTGCCTGAAGGCAGCAGGCACATTTGAGGCTCCCTCTCAGCTCCCTGCAGCTCTGGGTTTGTCCCAGGGRCACCAGGGCACCTGATTTCCCATCCACATCCGCGGAGGAATGCGCGTGCCAAGGGGTTACTGAGGCGGGATCTGGGGAGCTTCCAGTCCTCTGTGGGAACAGGAGGGTGAGAGGAAGRCAAAAGGGGACACATGCCCATCAGGTGGCTACATGGGGATGGAGTGGGGCAGTCAAGGTAGGGAGGATCATGCTCCTCATGAAGCATCTACAATTCAGCTGTAACATGCTTTTTTTTTTTGTTGTTTCATTATCATAATTAAATGGTTATATGCATTAAATTCCTTTTAAAAACAAGTTTGCTATCAGCAGTGCTGCAAGAGATGCAAAGCACCTAGTGCTGCTTAAGCATCTGCTGTCTGTATCGCTGTAATTTCATTAAGTTTAGCTTAAACTCTACCGGTGGTATTTGTGTTTTGTTATTTCTGAGCAGCCCCACTGATCTCAGAGGGACCACTGGTGGAGTGAGGTCTTAAASAGAGCAGAGGCTGAGCCTGTGTTAATTAAGAACAGTGGTTTACTTAGGGTTAGGTAAATAAGAGAGAATTGCAATATAAACATGTGGGACTTTTCTTGCAGGCCCTGGAACGACAGCCCAGGCAGATGAACTCCGTGGAGAACTGAGGGAGCATTCTGGAGAGCAGCAGCAGGGRAAGCAGGGAAAGCAGCTCGCAAGCAGTATTTTTACAAGAGAGGAAACTTTTCCACTGTGTGTTAGTTGACTGCTGTTTGCTTAAGTGCTTCTAGCACAGAGGAAAAAAAAAAAAAAAACCCTACAAAGTGTAATGATGTTTCAAATGGCTACAGACTGACCCAAAAGGGGCTTCAGCTCCTGGATGGGCGCTTTTAYTTCCCTTCTGAGGCAGCTCCTGGCTGGCTCAGTGCCCCACCTACAGACTCTTCCCTTCATGCCTCCCTCGTGCAGGCAAGACCTACTGCATTGATTTAAATAATGAAAATGACATCTCTTGGAAGAAGAATCTTCCCAGAAATTACAATTCAGCTGCTTCTCCCTCTGAATCTTGTTACATGAATAATGCATTTCATAAAAAAATACACAAGATATTAAATGAATCTTCAAGAGAGGCTGATTACAATGTGCAGCAATGTCTATTCCCCATCCTCTGGAGACATGGCTTTGTTTGCATTTTCACTGGCAAGGCTTAATAATAACTTGAAATCAGAGTAAGTAATTCACATACGAATTCACATCCTCAATGCTCTGCACGCTTTCCAAAGTCTCTGGGCCCACAAGAAAGAGGAATACTTTGCTGGCAAGTCAACTCAGGATTGAAAACAATTTTCTTAAGATTAGGGCGAGGGTGTCAGACTGAAATAGCAGGAAAGCACTTATTAATCATTCCTGCATTAAAAAGAAAATGATCAGTGAAAGCCACAATCCTGGCCTACCATAAGGAAACACGGTATATTTTTATTACCTATGCTTAGAGCCTGAGAGCAAAGGAAGAGAACAATTTAAGCTCCTCTGCAAACGAATTTTGCCAAGCTCTGTCAGGGTGAAAGCCATGTGTAGATGCCCACAATCTTTCTAGCAACGAGCAAGTAGAGTACACCTCCTCACAAAGAGCAACACTCAGAGAAACTAATTTTCCCCTCCAGCAATGTAGCTGCTACATCATCCCTAACCTCTTAGTGCCACAGAGAGCCAAAGCAGCCTGCTGAATAAAAAAATCCCTCAAAGCTGGCATCCCAGCAATGTGGGTCAGCTCAGGAGTGACACAATTTCCAGGCAGATTTAAAGCAGCACACTGTGGGGACAGCCCAGCTGTGGAGCTGTCAGTCTGTTTACAAATGGAGGTGTATTTTATAACACCCAAAAACAAGAGTATCACTCTTTGTGTAGGATATGTCCCCAGTACTAAAAAGAGTGCCACCCCTTCTAGAGACACATCCATATTTCAAGAAAAATGCTTGTGTATTGGTGCAGCCTGGAAACTCGTGCAAAAAAAAAAAAATAAAAATTGCTGTGCCAAGCATTAGTCATGAACTAGAGTTGAGGTTTATGGGGTCATAGCTGCCAACAGCTCCTGCATGGAACACTTGCAAYCCGCAGATGCAAAGGAACAGGTTTGAAAATGAAGGCTTTTAACTCAGCTGAAACAGTGCTCCATTCTTATGGCAAATGGGCTGCAGGAGTCAGGGATTTTAACTCGCTTGGGCACCACCCACCACCTCCTGTGAACTTCATGTTCAGCCAGTTTTGGGATCCCTTTAACACATTCATGGGCAAACTGGCCCCTGTGTACAATCTGCAGCACTCAGGTTCAAAGCCTCTTTTGCCAAACCAAACCAAATGAGGTACATCATAAATAACCAAAATTAACTCACTTTGAGCTCTGGGCAGTTAGTCATACACTCGGTCCCTTCCTCAACTCACTTGATTCCCATGGTCATCCTGATCCAAGTGGAAGGACATCCACAAGTGGCCTTGGGTTTGACGTTTTTAAGGAAAGTTAAAATTCTGACATTCCTACTCATGAACCTTAACTGTGCTTGGAAATTCCAGGCCAATTCGGATTTCAGGCAAATGCATCAAACTAACAGAATGAAAATAACCTCAAACTGCTTACAACAGAAGTGCATCTGACAAGTACRTTTTCACTGCCAAAAACGATAGCAGTATGCACCATGATCATAGAAACAAGGGAATTCTACTTCAGGAAGTTCTCACAGCTTAAAAAAAGCCCTAAGTGCTGCTCTTAAATATGACACTAAATCTTTACTACCAATAGCCTTCAGCATCTTCACTTTATAAGGCTTTGGAGACTTTAATGCTCTAATTACAACATCCAGCATGGATAATCCAGCAGTATTTTCTGACGACSGGCATTAACAGACCACATGCCTGAGCCCTTAACTTTGGAGCTTGGCAGAGGGATGGACATAATTCACTGTCTGCTGGTGGTTCTGCAGCAGGTGATCCGGGCTCTCTGGACCTGTCTTTGTACAGCAATTGGCCACAGACTTTATGGGATTTACAGCAACTTTATAGCGCAGCATTCTCAGCTGAGAAGTTGAGTCATTGATCTAARAGAAAGAGCAATTGTGTTTATACGGCAAACAAATCCCATGCTGGATGCTCAAGAGTCCTGTTACTCAAGGCTGTTGAAGGGAAGAGTTCYTGATTCGATTTGCTGGACTCCCCTGCCTGCTCCTACGAGCTGAGGGCTCTCCTCTGAGATCAGCTCTGGGCTTTCTGCTCTGGCTGATTTTAATGAACCACTCACATTATCCAGAAGGGCTTAAAACCTGGGGAGCTGAGCTTTGTGTCACCAGCAGTGTGACACTGGGGGCTGGAGCAGAGGCAAGGGCTGCTCTGCCCCACAGAGTGCCCTCTCCATCCCAGTCTCTGCAGTGTCACAGCCCCGTCCCTGGCAGCAGGGCCAGGGCAGGGTGGCACAGGCTGTGGGCACTCGCTGCCAACGCACTGGAGCAATTTATGAGGTTCACACAGTAATTTTTCCTATCCATTATGGTCAAGAAGCTTTTTAAACACTGCCCGGAGGATGTGGCAGTAATTCTGCAGTGTTGACACTGGAACTGTAGGAGGGAGGGGAGATTTCTTGGCATTAGCATATTCTCAATTAACATCGATGGCACAGAATAAAGACATTGCATGACTTTTTAAAAGCCACTTGTAGAGAGATAGCAGTGGAGTTCCAGATATTTAYAGTGCTCAAAACCATTTTTTTAATCAGTGTTAGAAGGCCAGTGGGTTTAGTCTGTGGTCAAAGCAGACAGGTGGTAAATCACTCAGGTTTTGTCCAGCTTTTTTTTAATGTGAGCCAAAAAATAAAAGCAAAAACGTCTTGAAGTACAGGACATATACTTATTAAAAAAATAAGGAGTAGGAACAAGCAAGCTTATWTCCACCTGTGATTATTTCTCTCAAGCTACTAGTTCATGTTTTGTGTAAGACATTAATTTCTGGGTTAGATGGGTTAGCAGAAAACACCAGTATAAGGCCAGCCATTTCTGTTTGACAYAGGGATGGACAGGATTTGAGACATTTGTACCCAATAAAGGATAACACTTCTTCCAAACACATCATGGATGCCTGCCCATTATGCAAGGAATGAGAACAGATTAAGACCAAACCTCCAGATGAGAAAAACACAGATAAAAACCTGCCAGTTCCACTGTGCAGGAGAATGCTGATGTGTCTCTCTCAGAGACTCATCTGACAGGGGGAGACACTGTCTGCTCACAAACTGGAAGAGAACGAGAGCTTCTCCTGACCCTCTCTTGTCATTYGTAGGGCACCAATTATCAGGACACTAATTAGCACCAGAAATCCGGACACCTGTCCCTGGCTACTGCATCCCAAACAATGTTTAATCCAAGCTGTCACTCACTCCATGGRACCACAGCTGTCCCAGCAGGTGTGACCCTTCCCATCAAGGTGGTCAGGTCCCCACCTGAAGCTTTGCTGGGGCTTCTGGGGCYTAAGGAAGGATCCTTTTCCATCTATTGTTTTTGTACAAACACACATTGGGGATGCAAGATCTTGATTTTTTTTTTTATTTTTACAGGAACATTGAAGATTATGTTTGTTCCTTTTCCTGCTTCTTTATGAACACTATGCCAATAAAACTTGGTTTCTTGGTTCCCTCAGTGTCATCACCCTTCATACCTTCAGAATAAAATGAACTATCAACCAAGAACAGTTTTTTTTTCCTTATTCATAAGGATTCCTGCCCAGTTCACCTGACAGACCTGTCCATTTCCACAGGTATTTCCACACATGAATCACACCTGCACTGCACAGTACAGAGCCTGAGGAAATTACTTTTGCACTCTGAATACTACAAAAAGGAATATTCTATTCTATTCTATTCTAT